AATCACCTTTCACAAGAAATGACTTGAGGGACATATTTAGGATAATTGTTACTAAGTTAAAATTGTACTTGTACAATACAAGTTATTTTCACCCTGACGTTTTAGAATTGTTTCTACCATTTTCTACCATATAGCAACCGATAATCAAAATCTGGCGGGGAAATGGTGGTTTATTAATTGGATGATAGTCCAAAAAAAGAAATAAGTTATTATAATATGAATCTGTCTTCTGCTGATTTCAGGATTTGTGGTGCAATGCACTCTGAAGAAGCTGTCCTGTGATGTCTGCCGGTCCAGCCTTGTGACGGATGCTGAATCTGCCCGTAAGGACCAGAGCTACCACCTGCTGACTCTGAAAAACAATGGTGGTCTGGTCATTCCATCTGAAGGCACAGTGAAAGTTGTCAGGGCTGCAGAGTGGGTCGTTCGCCAGGCAGCAGCAGATTCCAGAAGATCACAGCCCATCAAAATGTTGGAGGTCCTCTACATGGTGCGGAAGAGGATAGGTTGTGTTTTTGCCTAGGGAGCATATCAACGATACACGCTATGGCATCGACAGTCACCACTACACACTGTTGACATTAGTTGTGTCCCTGTTTTTCAAAATAAGTCTGCACCTGCTAAGATGACTACGCTTAGCCTACAGAAAGACAATGTGAGACAGAAGCTCACCACAACAGTCCCTTTCAAGGGGCAGTAGCTCAAACTGTCCATGCACTTGTATATATGTTGGTTTTGTTGCGACCGTGTGAGTGACCGTTGATTTGGAGTGAATGTTGCATGGTTTAGTGTGACTGTTGGTTTGGAGTGAATGTTGAACTGTTTTGTAATTGTTCACATCTGTTTAACAAAAGAACCTTTATGTCATGTTACTGAATGTGTTTTTATTATTTTAATTTTTATATTAAAATATATGTAGCAGAACGGGTAAGATGAACGAACCATCCCCTTGATCTTTAAAACTATACACATGAGTTGTTATGTGACCCTAAAATAAGAACACAAACATCATTTCCAACAGGCTGTGGAATTTTTTACATTTGTGGTATAATTATTTTTATGTTAAAGCAAATGGACCCAGGTCTCAACTTATACATCATGCATGTTAGTGATATTCAATGTATAGAACTATGTGAATCATTTAGCAAAATATCATTCTGAAGCATTAAATTATTTTATCAAAACGAGGGCCATGGGGCAAGAAGAACCAAAACCCTTGGGGTAAATTGAACCAATATGAATCACAATTTATATAATTTTTATTAGGTCTTTGCTACTCAAATTAGCAGAGTGATCTTTTATTTTTGATAAATACACTCATTCAAGAGAAGTTTTCAGTATATTATTTATTATTGAAAATATTAAAAGGTTCTGAAAAACAAACTTTAATTGGTTTTATATCGTTTAATAACCCAAAAGAAAAAATTCAGACTATTTGAAAAAGGGAAATGTCTTATAAATTTTTTTTCCATCAGTAAATACATTATTTGTTAAAGTTTTAAGTTTAGGTTTAAAATATCATGTGGGTCAACTTACCCCTTTATAGGTAATATATGTATTAAATAGAACTTTAAAATATCTAACTATTAAATGTCTAATATAAAAAACACTGACAATAGCTGTGTGCAGCTATGGCAGGTATTGCTCTACTATCTCCTTTTCTAATTTAATATGAAAGTCCATGGTTATAATTCCGTAAATATGCAGAAACATAACTACATCTCTGGCGTTTATAACAAACCAATCCGTTTGAAAATCAGTTGAAATTTGAGCAGGATATGGTCATTGAAACAGTACATGCACCATAGACATTAATGTTATCAGTGGGCCAGCAGCCCCGAGGTAAGATGGCCGCCGTGTGACGACGTCAGTCCCCATTGGCTCACAGCGTAGGTAAGCTATCTAGTCTTTCTATATATGTATGGTAGACAACACAAGGTCTCCTCATTTAAAGATCTAAATTACTTTTTATTTATTTATTATATCATTTCCCTCCTGCAAACCAGGAAAGCCAAATAGAGCAACACTGCCGCCATGTTCACATTAATGCAGCAAAGGGTTATGAATTCATGTCAGGTTAGAATTATTGACAGATTTTTTTAAAATATAATTTTTTATCAAATAGAGGATAGTCATTGACACATGCAAGGGATGTCTTCTTCCATGAACAATTACAGCAGAATTAATTTTTAATTCTTGGGCGATTCAGTGGAGAATTCCCATGAATTTTGACTCTTTGGTAGTGCCGTAGGAAGCGCCCGGTCCTGACACGAGAGCCCTCACACGAGAGTCTCCAGTGCTGCGTCCGAATTGCCAAGCAGTAGTCGAAGTAGTAGTCGAAGTAGTATGTAGCATGTCTGAATTGGCCACCACAGCGAGTAGCATGCTACTTCAGATACTACTTCAGCTACTAGACACGCCCACTGTAGTATGTGCTGCGTCCGAACTGCCCGCTCGGATACTACATGCTACTGCTACGTGCTACTGCTAGATCCTACTCCTACATACTAAAAACGTTGGCCCAATTCGGACACACTAGACGAGCGGTGGGGAAAGACGACCCCCGCAGGCAGAGAGTAGGTACTGCGCCCGTGCAGACAGTGGTAACTGAAGCCCTTCATCTGTGGGCCTGGCTGTAGTACTGCAGCTGTGCAGTTTAATGATGGAATAAGTGAGCTTTACCTCCATGATGTCGCCACTTGCTCATAAAATGATTACTTGGGAAAATATGACACCATGACATGACAAAGAGATACAACCGCACATTTTTTAGGACAGTGTGTGAAGTTACATGAAACTTACATCTGTACTGCTGCGGTCCCGCCTGCTGCTGCTGCTGCTCCGACATGGTGCGCGCTGCTGTGGCCAGCCGGCGTTCGCGACGCATCTAAATAGGCAGCAGCTGGTGGCGCTAGCATCACATGCGCTTCTACAACTTTTAAGAGGACGAAGAAGAAGCCCGCGGTGCATTTTGGGTCAGTCAGTAGCATGCCCGTAGGATGCACCGAGACCAACCTACAATGTGGGCGTGTCTAGCATCTGAAGTAGTATCTGAAGTAGCATGCTACTCGCTCCGGTGGCCAATTCGGACATGCTAGATACTACTTCGACTACTACTTCGACTACTACTTGGCAATTCGGACGCAGCTTTGGTCGCGGTGCATCCTACGGGCATGCTGCTGACCCAAAATGCACCGCGGGCTTCTTCTTCGTCCTCTTAGAAGTTGTAGAAGCGCATGTGATGCTAGCGCCACCAGCTGCTGCCTATTTAGATGCGTCGCGAACGCCGGCTGGCCACAGCAGCGCGCACTATGGCGGAGCAGCAGCAGCAGGCAGGACCGCAGCAATACAGATGTAAGTCTCATGTAACTTCACACACTGTCCTAAAAAATGTGCGGTTGTCCCCTTTGTGATGTCATGGTGTCATATTTGCCCAAGTAATCATTTTATGAGCAAATATGTGGCGACATCATGGAGGTAAAGCTCACTTATTCCATCATTAAACTGCACAGCTGCAGTAATCAGGCAGATCTCATTGAACAAACGATCACCACGTGAGTGAATGAAGGCTAAAAGTAATGGAAAAGCTACTTTGTGAATTTCTAAAGCAGTGCAGGAATATAATACAGCAGCATCCATCACTTGCACAATTACCATTCAAAGAGTCTAAAACTGTCTGCACGGGCACCACTCTCTGCCTGCGGGGGTCGTCTTTCCCCACTACTCGTCTAGTGTGTCCGAATTGGGCCAACGTGTTTAGTATGTAGGAGTAGGATCCCGCAGTAGTATGTAGCAGTAGTATGCGAGCGGGCAGTTCGGACGCAGCACAGGTCTGCAGCAATACCCTGTTGGACAGCCTGAGCTAATCTGAAAAAACTAAAAATTATGGTATGAATATTACTTGATTTCTTGAAAAAAAAAAGCCTATGAATGAATGAAGAAGAAGAAGAACTCTATTTATCTCCGAAGGGAAATCCAATATAAATAATAAAATAATAATACAATATAATTCAATAATAACTCCGGTCTGATTTTTATCCAATCCCAAAGACTACTGAGGTGTCAGTAGTCTGCTAAAAGATGCTTGCAGTAAAATAGAAACCACCACAAACTCTCTTTTACATCAATTGAATAACTTGTAAATAGAAATATTAAAGATGAAGCTCTCTGTTGTTAATATGAATCGGGCAGATCAGGTTGAAGAAAACAAACAAAAAAATTAAAACAAAAATGGGAGCACTCAGTACAGTCAGTAGTGCCAGATCTATGATGAGATTTCCTTTATCATTAATAATACAATAGGAATATTGTGGTCGTGTTTAATCTTTAATTTTTGAATTTGTATTAAGCTATCCATTTAATGTATTGACTTATTGTAAATGTCTTGATGTAATGGATGTTTTAGCTATTTAAACCATGGGGCAAGGTACTGAAGGGATTAAGAGAAACTGCACATTTGCAGGTTAAGGTTGGTTTGTATTTCTCACTGTTATTACATATTTATATTAACTGTCCCTGAGGGAAATCATTAGATAATCTACATGTGATGATTTGTTAAAAAAAATAAAAGTTAATCACAAAAAAAATGAGTCAAATTTACTCCTGCATTACTTGAAAAAAATGTAAAAACATTCCAACAGCCTTGCAGTTCAACAGCCTCTTGTCTTCAAATATAGTTTTTAACTATTCAGGGATCATTGCTCCAAGAGGAGTACTGTAATTCTCAGAAAAGTAACTAACCCAGAAAGAAGAGAAGATGAACAGATATGTTTAGCAGAAAGGGCTTAGGAAAAATTTCCTTGTGAGAGGGGTCATTTTAACTTAAACCAAAAAACTATATTCTGGAAAAGCAATGACCTCTTGAATGGCAGACCAGTCACACTGCTGCTCCACGTTTTGCCTTCTAATCATTGGCAGCATGCATAGCCAAGTAATTACTTCTTAAGCCTTCCTGATGAAAAGAGGTCAAGTGGAGCAGGAAAAACCTAACAGTCAGGAAGCTGAGAACACAAGTGGAACACTACTCAAGGAAAACAAAAAGGACACTGCTGCTTTCATTCTTGTCTTTTCCCTACATTTGGAAAAGTGACTCAGAAAGAAAGCAAAGAAAGGTAAGTGAACTACATTATATAAAGATTTTTGAAAGAGCAGAGAAATTAAAGAAATTTGTCTTGAGTCCAATCAATTTAATATTCTTTTTTTTTCCTGGAATACAAAAACTATGGGTTAAAAGGTTTTGCCAGAATGATTTTTTAATGAGTAATTTTAACCAGTGACTGGATCTGTTTATCAACAGTATGTCCAAAGCAGGAGACAGGACACCTTCTACTACCTCCGTCGACTCAGCCTCAACAGATGGGTGAGTTTGTACATTACCACTATTTATGAATTTAATGGATGAAAAAGTGTTTTAAAAAAATGCAGTTTTTGTACATTCTCAAACGGTTCCGTAGGTGACCTATTTAAATTAATTTATTAGTTAGCCAAATTAGTGGTTAATTATGTAGATTATGTAAGTAATCAGAGAAGTTTTATCTTATGATCAAGGGGTTTCACATGTATTATTCATTTATTTTATTTATTTATTTTTACATTTATTGTTCATTGTGTTCTCTTGACCTTGCAGTAAAGATGGTAGCTCAAGGGATTCCCTATCAGGTTCAGTCTCCGACACACCCAAGAAAACCTCAAAGAAGTCCAAGAAAAACACTGAGAGTATGAATAAGGTCTACAACTCTGTGCTCAACAGTGTTTTTGGGGCAGTAAGTTGCTCACGTGCACATGTTGTTATGTATGTGCAATGCATGTGGAACTAGATGTGAACATCTTTTTCTAAAATACAAAGGCAATTTTGACTAGTATTGCATAATCACCATACCATGTAACCCCGTCCAACTTTACATCCAACAAGGAAACTTGGATGCAAAGAATCTTGATCTTTTCTATCATCAACAACAACACTTATCATTGGAATAAAGATTTAAATTCACAGATACAGCTGCTTAAACCAGTTTAAGCAGCTGTATGTCTATCATTAAAACATCAGATTCAAAACTTAAGTGGGAGTCAGGCAGTATTCAAAGCCTGCAGGTTGTATCCGATGGTTTTGAGCTGTGTTTACTAAGCTTGTGTGTCTGTAGTATTAGTGTCTAATTAGTTCAGGCTTACTGCCACAATTCATTAGTATAATCCAAAAGAAGAGCTTTGGCAAGCACTCATTTGACACAACTTGAAATTATTCACAGTACCTCTCTCTAGTACTACACCAAGTAACTAGAAACTGTCTTCTGTAAAATTGCCCTCTGTGTTGCCTTTCATGTTCATCTATGCTGTGTGCATAGTACAGCATCTTTGAATTAAAAAATGTACTTTAAATCCTAAACATAAAAAAGTGTTTGGTTGTCTTTTGTAAGGTAAAGATGCTTTGGTAGTTTTTATATCGCAAAATTTTCTGTTTTCTCTACAGTCATATTTTCAGGATTCAACTTGTGTATTGTTATTCTTTCTACAGGACAGAGAATTAGCCCAGGCGGAGTTGGATGGTAAGTACAATCACCACAGTTAAACAATTGAAGTGTTGCAGTGTTGGAAAGCTCAATACCACCCACCTCTCTTTCAAGCTAAAATAGTGTGTAATCAATAGAAATAAATAGGTCAAATAATAGTTTGGCCATATCAAAATGTCTGAGATATTTTTTGTAGTCACCAAGGAGTCTGCAACTTTTTCTGTTTTAAAGGCTATGTGCTAGTCTGACATCTTCTTTTGTGGTTCCAATGGCTGTGATCTCTTTGTGACCCCTTGTGATCTTTTTTTACAGAGTTGCAAGAGGCCTTTAAAGAATTTGACTACGATCAAGATGGATATCTGAACTACAAAGATGTGGCGGAATGCATGAGAACCATGGGATACATGCCTACAGAAATGGAGCTGCTGGAGATTGTACAACAAATCAAGATGCGAAGTAAAAATTAGACAGCACAGACAACTTGTGCACAGAGATTAAATATATATATATATATTTAGCAATCAAATTTGATAACTTAACTCTAACTAATACTTATGTATTTTTCATAAAGGGGAATTCATGTGTGTGTGGCTATTTGCTATTAATCCCCTATTTCCTTATGTGATAACTCTCTTCTTAAATAGTGGGTGGGTTGATGGATTTTGAAGACTTTGTCGAATTGATGGGACCCCGAATGATGGGAGAGACTGCTCATATGTTGGGACTCAAAGAGCTTCAATCAGCCTTTGTGCAGGTCTGGCATCATCATCAATAACAACAACAACAACAAAATGCATGTAATAAATTATAATAGCAACAGAAAGAATAACTTAATTGGTATGGGGAAATGTATCGACTCAAAGGGTTTCACTCAAATTTTTTGCATCTCTGTGAATCAATCAAAAAATTTTAATAGATTAGTTTTAAAGTATGGTAATTAATTTGTCAAATTTTAGCAGCCAAGTTGCATTTTTAACAACTTGGTTTGCTGTGGTTGGAAAAATCAACACCATCACCTCATCAGGTTTCTTCCACTTTTTTTTCCTTTTAAAGTTTGATCTAGATGGAGATGGGAAAATCAACCAGGATGAGATGAAAGAGGCAATCAAATCACTCCTAGGGGAGAAGCTAAAGAAAGGAGAACTGGAGGAGATCTTGAAGGAGCTGGACATTAATGCAGATGGAAACATTGACTTTGAAGGTGGGATTAAGAACTTGCTTTTTATCAAATGCTTCACATCACATCATACTCAAACCTCCAATACTTGTTGTCACAAATATATCAAACTTTTTCAGTCAGATAAACTCCTGTGTTTTCCTGTGTCTCCTGTGTCTTCTCCCTTTCAGAGTTTGTGATGATGCTGTCCATTCGCTAGCTGCCAGGAAAACTAATAAGAAGACATACAAGCAACTCTCTATATCCCTTAAGACATAGATATAACAATTCTGAACACATTTTTTCTATAATGTAATGTAAGTACCTGCATCATGATATGTGCCTAACTCTTCACTAATTACTTCTGAATAGTTTAAGGAGTGGAGATGATGTGTTACTACTACTGTGTAACATGAAATTTGCCTCCAAATTAAAGCTACTCTATTAAACCAATAAAGGTTTTCAGTTATTAAATATGTATATGAGTAGAATGCTTTGCTATTTTAATGAAGAAATAAATTAAATGTGGTTATTGTGAACTTGCCAACTTGCTTTGTTTAAGAACATATGAAATACAATGCATTATTAGTAATAAAATCAACTGTTCACATTTAGAACTACGAAACAAACTTTATTTCAAAAACAATTAATTTCTAGGTCAGTATCACTCAAAGAAGTAATGATAATATAATTATAATCTGCAGAAAATAGGCTAAATATATTCTAAATTTATTGTCTACTGATAATCTGCAATAAAGTTTGAAGATTTGTAAATTTTGCTGTCTTGTAAGTTTTGCGTTTGAAGATCAAAAACTGTGATGATTTTAAACATTTTGACACCTCATAAAGAAATCCTAGAATCAGGCAGATATTTCTAGATGACACCAAAACAACCAGAAGCAGACCTTACTTGTGAATTAATTTTGGCAAGATTTTGTGTTGTCATGAACATTGTTTTGTTGTTCATATATCAACTGCACTCACATTCAACAATGCTAATTTTTGAGTTTGGGAACTTAGCTTAGATCAATGCACAGGTCAGGTGTTCCTGCTTCAGCCTTCCGGCCTGTCACACCTCCCTCTAGTGCCAGTGTGGGCAGCTACAGTGTTGTCAGTTGTTGATATTTAGTCCCCCTACACCAGTACATCTCTGGGCAGGAGGGTGTGGCCCATTGTCCCCATCTGCTTTCCCTCCTACGGAACCACAACCAGTAGCTCACCTTCACAGCTTCCTCTCCCAGCTCTTTCACATCTTTCCACAGCATTGACCCAGTCATCCCAGCACTGTGGAGCAACTGCAATGCTGCCTTGCCAACAAAGCTACTGCATCCAACCTCCACCGGACATATCCTGGGTTTCCAACCAGCCTATTGGCACTCTGCTGCCAGTTCAGAGCACTTAAGTTATTTCCTCTCATGGGCTGCTGTCATGCCTTCCTCCCAGGGGATGGCGAGCTCAATCATAAGGACTGATCTCACCATGGATGACCACATGACAGTGTCTGGTCTGAGAGTAACTTTGCTACGATCCCTCTCCAGCTCTCCAGACCAGCTGTCTTCTGAGGTGGACCAGCATCTGCCACTCCTTGCCTAGTTTCAAGATGGTAGCTTCCTGCATGGGTGTTCAGCTTTTCTTGCCCGACCTGATGAAAGTGGCTGGCGCAACCCTTGCTTCCTGGTTGTGGTTTGGTGCCACCCTGCATCTTTCCAGGAGTTCTGCCAACTTGGCTGGGACCTGGTCATGACCACCTAAAGTGCCCTACCGAGGTTACCCTTGGTTATATTCCACAGCAGACAGCCAACCTCACTCCCGAACCACTGGATGAAGGTGTCATAGGCTGCTCCAATTAGGAAGCATAATGGCTCCTCCAGATGTCTGCCCAGCTGATGTGACTCTGCACAGTAACCTCCCATTGCGTTCACCTAGCAAGTGTGTAACACAGGTAAAAGCAGAAACCAGAAGAGTTTCCACACCCCATACATTCCTTAATATATATATATATACATATTGTTATGACCGTAGTCATTTATGTAGTTTGTTTGGTTTATTTTGTTGATTGACAGCTCTCTCTCTCCTCCCCTCCTCTGCAGTGGAAATCAGCCTGTGTGTATGAGAGATGAGCTGCAGGTGAGTGTGCTGCTGCTGGGTGCGCCTGTGAATCGATTGCTGCATGCTGATTGGTGGCTGAGGACTATTTAAACCACCTGATGCCATCATCCGCCCCCTTCTGGCCCTTGCCACTTCCAACCACCAGTCCATGCAGACATTTGTGAAGTATATACAGTATATATATACAGTGCCTTGCGAAAGTATTCGGCCCCCGTGAACCTTTCAACCTTTCGCCACATTTCAGGCTTCAAACATAAAGATATAAACTTTTAATTTTTTGTCAAGAATCAACATCAAGTGGGACGCAATCGTGAAGTGGAACGAAATTTATTGGATAATTTAAACTTTTTTAACAAATAAAAAACTGAAAAGTGGGGCGTGCAATATTATTCGGCCCCCTTGCGTTAATACTTTGAAGCGCCACCTTTTGCTGCAATTACAGCTGCAAGTCGCTTGGGGTATGTCTCTATCAGTTTTGCACATCGAGAGACTGAAATTCTTGCCCATTCTTCCTTGCAAAACAGCTCGAGCTCAGTGAGGTTGGATGGAGAGCGTTTGTGAACAGCAGTCTTCAGCTCTTTCCACAGATTCTCGATTGGATTCAGGTCTGGACTTTGACTTGGCCATTCTAACACCTGGATACGTTTATTTGTAAACTATTCCATTGTAGATTTGGCTTTATGTTTTGGATCATTGTCCTGTTGAAAGAAAAATCTCCGTCCCAGTCTCAGGTTTTTTGCAGACTCCAACAGGTTTTCTTCCAGAATGGTGCTGTATTTGGCTCCATCCATCTTCCCATCAATTTTAACCATCTTCCCTGTCCCTGCTGAAGAAAAGCAGGCCCAAACCATGATGCTGCCACCACCATGTTTGACAGTGGGGATGGTGTGTTCAGGGTGATGAGCTGTGTTGCTTTTATGCCAAACATATCGTTTTACATTGTGGCCAAAAAGTTCGATTTTAGTTTCATCTGACCAGAGCACCTTCTTCCAAATGTTTGGTGTGTCTCCCAGGTGGCTCGTGGCAAACTTTAAATGAGACTTTTTATGGATATCTTTGCGAAATGGCTTTCTTCTTGCCACTCTTCCATAAAGGCCAGATTTGTGCAGTGTACGACTGATTGTTGTTCTATGGACAGACTCTCCCACCTCAGCTGTAGATCTCTGCAGTTCATCCAGAGTGATCATGGGCCTCTTGGCTGCATCTCTGATCAGTCTTCTCCTTGTTTGAGATGAAAGTTTGGAGGGAGGGCCGGGTCTTGGTAGATTTGCAGTGGTCTGATACTCCTTCCATTTCAATATGATTGCTTGCACAGTGCTCCTTGAGATGTTTAAAGCTTGAGAAATCTTTTTGTATCCAAATCCAGCTTTAAACTTCTCCACAACAGTATCTCGGACCTGCCTGGTGTGTTCCTTGGTCTTCATGATGCTCTCTGCACTTTAAACAGAACCCTGAGACTATCACAGAGCAGGTGCATTTATACGGAGACTTGATTACACACAGGTGGATTCTATTTATCATCATCAGTCATTAAGGACAACATTGGATCATTCAGAGATCCTCACTGAACTTCTGGAGTGAGTTTGCTGCACTGACACTAAAGGGGCCGAATAATATTGCACGCCCCACTTTTCAGTTTTTTATTTGTTAAAAAAGTTTAAATTATGCAATAAATTTCGTTCCACTTCACGATTGTGTCCCACTTGTTGTTGATTCTTGACAAAAAAATTTAAATTTTATATCTTTATGTTTGAAGCCTGAAATGTGGCGAAAGGTTGAAAGGTTCAAGGGGGCCGAATACTTTCGCAAGGCACTGTATATATATATATATATATATATATATATATATATATATATATACATATATATACATATACATAGTGTGTGTGTGTGTGTGTGTGTGTGTGTGTGTGTATATATATATATATATATATATGGCTTGTTAAAATGTAGTGCTTTTTTCACAACCATTTCCCTCCTGTCATGACCTATACTATATACTTAAGCAACATTATTAAGCAGATTAGACATATGACTTATTCCCAAAGGGTGTGACTCACATTCAAGTATATTTTGCATTGAAAAGAAAATAATGATTACACTTTTTCTCAGTCGTTTTGGTGCATTTCTCTGATCAAAGTTAAAAGTCTCATTTAAACCTCCACAACATTGAGTCATTTGAGCACATCATAGTAGTAGGTTCTTATTCCTTTCACCAAATTGCAAATGCTTTTGGACATGCATCTATTGCTTTTATACAGTTCTCTGCTGTTGTATAACATTATCATTGCTCATGTCATGTCAGTCAAAAAGAACTATACCTATGAATGCTAATTAGACATTTCTTATAAAACTAATAGTCCTCATTTCAAAACTTGAGTCATTACATACAAAAATGTTGAACTACTAGTAAAAATCTGTCAAGCAAATTTGATATATTTCTTTATCATTTTTTCCCCCTGAAAATGTCTCCTGAACAGTTTCTCTACGGTGAACCTCAGCTTTCACTGATGAGGGGGGCTGTGTGGAGCATTAGTTGCAATGAATGACAAGTCACCTCTTCACAGTCACTCAGGGCTGAATCTCATGAACCCTCACTCGGCGAGCATATATGAACCAAGCAGGACATAGTGTGTACCATTTCTACAATACTGTGTAGACTGTGTGTAGAATACTGTGACACATTTGTAGCATACATCAGATGATGCCATACATACAGTCGCTCTCTAAACGACTGGGGCTTTTGGCCTGGAGCCGATGTCGTCAGACGGTGCCCAACCTTCTCTGGGTGTTTCGACCCTTAACCGCTACACCCTCCAGTTGGCGGGTCAGCAGTGGTGGCCAGGTCACTGCCCATCAGCTCCAGGCCTCCAGCCCTCCTCCTCCCTTTTGAACCACAGCCAACAAGAGGCTCGTTCTGCTGCCTCCCCAATCCTGCGCACAGCTGCCTTGCGCTCTCTGCCTGCCACGCCGAGTGTAGTGAGCACCGACCATACTGACTGCGCCGGGAACCCTCTACACCCCACCTCCACCGGAAATAGCCATGCTTGCCAGCCTTTCTCCCTACACTCCATGATGAGGTCTTGGTATTTCAGGCTCTTCCTCTCATGGGCCTCATCACAGCCTTCCTCCCATGGCACTGTTAAC